CTTTCTCCGATGTCTTTACTTACATATATAAGCATTTGAAAATAAATATATATATATGATACATCCACATGACGTTTCTTTTGCCTTTCAGTGTATATAAAAGTATAATTGAGGATCATAGTGAGGAATCACTTATCGCGCCGATACACGATACACGATACACCCAAAATATTAGGCAAAGCTGTGTTCTGTTGAAAACATATATTATTGCGGAACCTACATCATCATAACCTGTTGGGATTAATCCCTGTATTTCATAATCGAAAGGTGATAGTGAGTGTGAAATAATATAAGTACAGGAAAATCTAACAATATTTTGTCATAAGGAATTATCTCACCTTACATTAAAATACTACCTTCTGATGGATTAAGGAGCGAGCAATAATTTTCCCTGTAGACCGCTCATTTATTCCGCTGAGAAATCATTCGGAACATATCGTTGGTAACTTGCATATCTTGAATAGGTAGTTGGAAAACAGAGTCGTGTGGTGTGCCTGAGTCAAGTGGAAAACCCGCACTACCCTGCTAGTGTTACGGGTACCTTTTCAAGGTGATCGAACCTGACTTTTTTTGTCACATGTCATAATACATTAATTTGATTTGTTAAAACTAAATCTGAACATGAACTCAATTGTGCCGTAATCGGAAAAAAGCCCATGTGCCCAAATGATCATGTCTTTATTGATTTTCTGAATCACTCTTTTTTATTTTTCATGATGAAAGCGTATTCACTCTGCAAATCAATTTGAATGGCACCGACAGGATGGGAACAATCACACCAATAACATGTCTCTCGAGTCCCTTCATTTTCAGTTATCTTCCAGTCTATCTGGAAGCTAATGCTTTTATTCAATCAACGAAGCTATCACAAATATAACCATAATTTAAAAGGTTTAATTTGTAACAATTTTTCTCATGTTTTTGGATGCATTTTTACCTAATAACAGATATAACCCTGTGTGTGAGCCTGACTGTCCGGGGTATATAGGCTCACACAGGGTACATCACACCATACACCCCTCAGGATTGGTGGATAAATGAATGCTTTAACAACTTTGCCTACCCCTGCAGTCCCGACTGGATACCCAACTCAGACACAGTATACTGACTCCGAGCCGGCCAGATCTTGTTTTATCGCTCTGCTGGCGATTGCTTTTCAGCCTATCAAACAAGTACCTTCTTTTAACGTCTTTGGTGTTATTGAACCACGGACCTTCCACTTCCCGGGCAGATGCTCTATCGACTGGACCATGGAGTCAGCCTGGCCTGATTAATATGGATGACACCACAACATAATAATATTCCCATTACCCTGGAGACTCTCACTGTTAAAGCTCAAAAGTGGGTTGGAGCGTTATTAATGGACTTGATGAGCGAATGTTCCTTAATTCGTAAATACATGTAGTTTTAGTTCGTTTATATCGCAAGGATGTAATTTAGTAAAGGAGTTCTTGTTCATGCGGCATACAAATGGAAAAGGAAGACCAGTAATGCAGTACTCTAAAGCACTACAATATAAAAACCGGTGTGCAGTTGCGTCCTTTAGGTGTGCCAAAAGCTGCAGAAGCACTTGGTTCCCAAATTCATATATGAGATATCTATGCTTCAACGGGAATACATCAAATTTCAAACACAGTAGGTTTATCTCCTAACTGCTAGCTCAAATATTATTCATCCCTTCACCACAATACAAGAACTGGGTGACTATATAACTTTTCCAACAACAACAAAAAACATGTGTATAATGTTTATACTGTGGTTCAAGGGGTTCATGGCTAAAATGTGTTGAAAATCTTTTAGATATTAAGACTGAACTACCCAATGGCTAAATTGTATTGTTCAGAACTGAACTATCGAAAAGTTCAGTTTCACATCAGTGCCCAGGACCCAACTGTCGAAAATGTGAAGGGATTATCAGAGATTAACAAATCAATTTTTAGTACCCTGTTACCTTGTGGCTTCATTTACATTTCTCTTGTCGCTATTTAAGATTATGAAAGTAAAAAAACAGTGTTTTTAAAATCAAAGTGAGACAAATTTAGAAAGGGAATAAGATTATATACTCTTTAAAAAAGAAACGCAATACAGATAATTTTGGCCATAAAAGCAAAATTAGCAGAACAAGAGGTGCAAAATGAAGAGGTTTAATGTGTTATAGTGTCAGTGACAAATTTTCCGGATCAAAATTTATTATCACAACAAGGACATGCAAAACATGTCGGGAAACAGTACGATTCGGAAAAACGCATCCAGTGCATTAACAAAAGGGCCATGGAGCTGCACGCACTGCACGTGTACTATGAACGGTATTAAAGTGCAGGGTTTTTTTATTGCCTAGCATCTGCGTCAATCCAACAGTCACAGTTCAACAACATGCCAAGATTAAAAGAAGTGCAAAGAAACAACGTCATAGGCCTCTTGCAGACAGAGGAATCCCGATCAGCTGCAGCCAGGGTTTTCAATGTTTAGCCCAGCACCATCACAGAGCTGTGGGATCGGTTTCAACAGCATGGGTCAACACGTGATCAGCCAAGGTCGATACCCCCGCCTAGGATCGCTACATACGAGTGCGCCACTTACGTGAAACGACGACCACAGTCACCTCAACCGCAACCCAAATACCCGGACTGCGCAAGAATCTCCGACCGGCCGTACGAAAACGTTTAAGAGCAGCAGGACTATGAGCAAGACATCCTGATCGACGCGTCATATTGAATCGACAACAATGAGGGGATGGAAGAGCACCTGTCTACAGACGCCGGGGAGAACGTTACGCCGGAAACAGCATGGAGGAAGTTGACAGGTTTGGCGGAGGTAGCGTTATGATGTGGGCGTATATCTCACATCATGACAGGACAGGTTTGGTCCATATCCAAAGATGCATCTCAAAGATACATCAACGAAATTCTCCGACCATACATCCTCCCAATTGCAGCCAACGGCAACGGTGTATTCCAGCAGGACTACGCTCGACAACATTCAGCCCAGATCACAAGAGCCTGTTCACACAACAACAACGTTGATGTACTCCCCTGGTCCTCCAGATCCCAGGATTTTAACCCGACAGAACACCTGTGGGATGGATTGGATAGACGTCAACCACAACCCCTGACGTTGCAGCGGTTGGCTTTTGCGCTGCAGGCCGAGTCGGCTAGCATTCCCCAGGATGTGATTCGCATACTAGCCTCTTCCATGGGCTGGAGATATCAGGCTGCAATCGATTCAAACGGGGGACGTACGCATTATTGATGGTAGCTGACCTTCACCTTGGACTTCTTCTATGTACCGATAACTGAGACGTCTTCAATCACCAAGTGTTCTCCCCACAACATTTTGGCTCAATACCATGTACGGTTCCACGAATAAATGTATTTTCCTACCTCACACAAATCTGGCATGGCGTTTCCTTTTTTGAAGAGTATAATTTCAGTAAATCTCGGGATTCAGTTGTCATGTTTATGGGCAATGTCACAGATTCGTGCGCTGGGAACCAAAACTCATGGAATCAAGATGTACAGAACCACAACACTAATGAGGGACGTCGGACTTATAATAACTTCATTACAGACGAAACAATGTTTCCGGAAAGAGCCACCCTAACATCTTCGAACAGGTGTCCGTTATCACGAGAGAGCAGTCCGCAGTTTAAGCCAGGATGGCTCAGGTGTTTGGCCACCGTCGTGTTCCATCGGGAAAAAATAAGCATAGGGACCTGATTCCCAGGCTCTCCGATCTGAAAACTCTCCACTACCTCGAGTAAGCCATGGGCGATCTGTGCTAAAAAGATCGTTACTCACATACTCTAACAAAGGCGTACGACAGTCGTTGCGCCGAGGTCGCTTTGTCAATTTCGACTTTTCCCTGCAAAGTCCATTTAAATATAAAGTACAATAAACTGTGTAGTAAAATGACGATAAAATATATACTACAATACAATGTGAAACAGTTAAATGTGCTTAAAGTATGGAAGTGATGCAGTAGTCGGATGTTAAAAACCATGTAAGTGAAGATGTAGTCGCATCTGTTTCCCAGATATTCCAGCTATATGGCAGCGGTCTGTGAATAATCGAGTCTGGACCAGACAATCCGGTGATTGATATCATGAGCATCGATCCACGCAATTGGGATATAATGACATGCATCAGCTTAAGACCTGTTCTAACCCGGATCTTCACGGATTAAAAACATGTGATGTAATATATGTATTCATCATTATACCATTTGTTACAATTTGTTACAAATTGGCTTGAAACTCAGAAATGTGCTGAACTAGTGCTATTGATATTCGTTATGTTTTAATTTTTAGATTTTGCGTTTTCAAAGCAAAAGAAATACACTAAATCGTATCTCAGATGTGGGTAGGGTTCCTTTGGGGAAAAATACCTTGTGATCAAATAATTAGTTTTCATAAAACTTCGTGTTTTCGCCAGGCAACTGATGAACTGGCTCCTTTTGCTTTACCAGTTTTTACGCTTCCCTGGTAGAAATTTCAACTGAGGTTAACGGAGCATCCAGTGCCAAGCTGACAAACTTTTCAGTATTTCTCTAAGAAGTGTGACATTATTTATCTAGCACCTTAACCAAGTGAAGCCTTCACACGGCTTAAGTTTAAATGTGGGTAGGTTTTGTCTCAAAGAGTATAGCTCTAACCTGGACTGCTTTATGTCGATTTGCACACATATCAAGCACGGTTGCGAGTTGCGTTTACATCAAACATGTAAGGTGCCTATTAGTATTTGACCAATTCACTCCACGCTTTCCACGGATTTGTGTGAAGGTCAAGCATTATTAAGTGAGTGGAGAGTAGAACGTGGTCCAAAAGGAAGGGACTTTGTATGTCTTACAGTTAGAGTAAGTATAGTTTATGCCGCTTTTAGCAATATCCAATCCGCATCAATGTATCCATGTCGGGAATCGAACCCGAGTCTTCGGCGTGACGGGACAAACGTTTCAACCAACAGGTTCCCCACAACCCTCTAAAAAGTAACAAGCAAAGTTCATGTTGTGCATGATGACAACTTTACGTATAATTTTAATTAAGGCAGCATCATTGTGAACGCAGACAAGAGAATACTCATGGAGACTACTGCTGTGTGTCCCCCCGCCCGACTTACAGGGTACTTCCAGGTGGATGTGTGGGGCTTGTCCACACAATCACAGGACTCCAAAGCAGAGAAGAACTTGAACACTTCCAGGCTTGTCACGCCATTTTGTTTTAAGTCTCCAATATACGCTTCCATACTTCCTCTTAAGCAGGGATGTTGACGTACTTCCTCTACAGCCGCGGGACACTCCGAGCGACAGCCTCCGTAAGCATTGCAGTTGTCAAGAACCTTTGAAATTAAGAATGAAATAGGAATAGATACATGCAGTTTAGAAAACGATCACTTAAGTAAAATTGATTTTCATTGAAAAGTGGAAAAAAATGTTTTGGACACATACTCGTCATTTGATGATCGTTTCAAAGTGGTAAATATGAATACAAGGCCAAAACCATAATATTAACATCAGTTATTATAATTATAATGCTTTAATTATGATGTTGATCATGATCATCATGTGAATACAAATCCACCCTATTATCACCTTCATGATAACACAATTCCATCCTATCATCACCATCATGATAATACCATTTCATCCTGTCATCACCATCATAATAATACCACTCCATACTATCATCACCATCATGATAATACCATTCCATCCTGTCATCACCATCATGATAATACCACTCCATCCTATCATCACCATCATGATAATACCATTTCATCCTGTCATCACCATCATAATAATACCATTTCATCCTATCATCACCATCATGATAATACCACTCCATCCTATCATCACCATCATGATAATACCACTCCATCCTATCATCACCATCATGATAATACCACTCCATCCTATCATCACCTTCACGATAATACCATTCAACCCTATCATCACAATCATGACAATACCATTCAACCCTATCATCACCATCATGACAATACCATTCAACCCTATTATCACCATCATGATAATACCATTTCATCATCTCTGGTACCCATCGATACAAGGACAGCAGAAGCAAGGTCGCATTGTACATTTACAACGCAAAATGGGATTTCAGAACATGTACCTATTTTGAGAATCCGGATATTCGGCATGAGGAGTAAACGCTGGAGCCACTAAGCTAACAGTTCGTGTTTGAATGAGCGGTTGAGTGAAACCAAGAAACTTAACACACATTGTTCTGAGCCCTGTCTTACATCCGAATATCCGCGTCCTGCTTGACAGCTGATATGTGGGCAAGTTATCTAATTCACCTTAATTTTCTATGTAGAGTTTCATCCCTTTGACATGTTTGACATACAATATTGTTTTCTCTGAAAGTAGGAACTGAAGAATTTGTTTTTCACAACATAACTTTTTCAGGACATACAGAGAACAATTTAACTAAATACGTTGAAACATGGTACTTGTTGTCACCCTGCCTGGCACTCGGCATTGAAGGTATAAGACAAGGACTGGTCGGCTTGAAGCCAATATACTGTGTCCGAGTGCGGTATTTAATGAATGTTAAACTGCCGCAGGGTATCTCAGTTGGCTAACGCTATTAAACCGGCATTACTACGTGCAATAATCTTGAGCGCGACGTTAACCTCCATTTCGCCTCACCCACCTTTGAAAATAGACGTTGACGTTGTGGGTGAGACGGGTTGAAGAATATCATCAGATCACAGTCGTTGAGTGAAGTGCCGTTGATTCTGCAGAGGTCCACGTCATCCCAGGTCACACATGAGGACATTTCTATGGCCTCAGCAGGGTAGAAGGTAAATATACCAAAACACATCTCATCGAATGACCCTTCACCATACCTGGCGGTAGTGGACCGGGAGGTAGACCTGAAGACACAGGTGGTCTCGAGGCTGTCACCTGGTCTCACTTCAACTGGGGGGTTGTATCTGGATAAGAAGAATACTATATAATCCCCCCTAGAACGGACCAGCAATCTTTACTGCTGTGGAACGTGCTTTAATGAGACCATATGGATGCGATTATTTTGGTAACTCGGAAATGTGTTAACCTGAATGATTTCATTGGGATGGATACTTTTTGTAGTCAGTATTTTTCTCTGATAATGGTCTCATCATCTTTCTTATGAGCGATTAGAAAAAAAGAGATGGAAAACCCAATGGAAAATATCAAATGTGGGAAATATCATTTTTAGACGATGGTGAAATTCTGCTCTAAGCATTAGAGCGAATTATGATTATGTTTTACGTCGCTTTTAGCAATGATGTAGCAACAACACGGAAGGGGACACTAGAAATGGACTTCACACATTGTACACATGTCGGGATTCGAACCCGGGTCTTCGTCGTGACGAGCGAACGCTTTGACCACTAGGCTACCCGACCGCCCCCACTTTATACGTCAGAGCATCTTTCATATCTAAATGAATACTTGTAAGAATGTTGAACCGGGAATGTTGAATGTTATTTGTTGTTTGTTTGTTTTTTGCTGTTGTTGTTGTTTGTTTTGTTTTGGGTTTTTTTGGGGGGGGTTGTTTGTTTGTTTTATGATGGGATTTTTGTTGTTGGTTTTGGGGTTTTTTGGGAGGGGGGTACAGATATGCTGAATTATACATTACTCGTAGACTGTTGGGTTGTCATAATTATAAACATCATCCGGAGTCAAATCTCGCAGTTTCTCGCCATTCCGGTTGAGTTCGACGTTCTGTTGGTAGCCTGAAAATAGATGTTGCTATGAGGCTGATTATGTACAAATAAGGGTTTTTATTGTTTTATTTTTTGGATGTCCTTATATAATCTTGAATGCTGCATGAATCCCAAGTCGCAAACGTAGTCGTCCGCAAGTGGGGCTTCCGGATTAACAGAATCCGGACTAAGGAGGTTTCACTGTGTCATTCCCACTCGAGCTGATATACTGGTAACCATAGTTTATTGTGTGCTCTGGTTTCTCATGTACGGCTGCCCATACCCTCGTAAAGCTCAGTAACGAAGCTTGAGCTTATAACAAGATCCGTAATGACCCTGACCCCTCAGGGATAAGGTAAGACTACTGAGTGCGGATACGTGTACTGTCCAGACTAAATGACTGATGTAAGCCCCGAGCATACAGCAATAGGCTTTAAGTTACAACATTCCAGATAATCCCAAATTCCGAGGTTCGAATAAACTGACGTCCAAAAGAATGTACACCAAGACGTTGAGAGACGATTGAAGCAACGACAAAGCATGTTGGATGTTAAACATATATACTTAATTAGGGTTGCGTTTTAAAAAATAATATTTCACTTCCTAAAAGCAGAACCCTTACGAGTAACAATGAAACAAAGATACAAATAAGATCAAAATGAGATCAAATGAGGTCAAAATGAGATCATTCACATTGTTATGGTCAAAACACACCAGTAACAGATTTGTAAGTCACTGCAAAGGCCTAAATCATTCTATTCTGTCATTCTATATTGAGTATTTCCATCTCGTGTATCAATGCAGACCACACACGTCGCTGCACCGATGACGTCAAACGCACATGACGTTAGCGGGAGACCGATGCCATGTCTCGATGACACATCGCTCCCGGCCCTGACGGTTGACTGGTGGTGCTGGTCGCCTTCTGACTTGCCTGTCAAGATATACCACAAATCTTCTTTGGGGTTTATGTCAGAAAAACATGCAGGTCATGGCAAAACATTAACGTTCATGCTGGAAGTCCCATGTCAGTTGAACTTTCTGAAACACAATTCGACGCCAGGCTTTGCTTGTTTGTTTGGTTGTTGGTTGTTTAAAGCGGCACTCAGGAATATTCCAGCTATATGAGGCGGTCTGTAAATAATCGAGTCTGGACCAGACAATTCAGTGAGTGACAGCATGAGCATCTACGCAATCGAGATACGATGATATGCATCAACCAAGTCAGCAAGCCATACCATCCAATCCTGTTAGTTAGCCTCTTACAACAAGCATAGGTTGCTGAAGACCTATTCTAACCCGGAATCTTTACGGGACTTGACGGTAGGCGCCCCCTTGATGTCTGTACACACACTGCCGACCAACAGATTGAAACACGCAAAACCTACTCTCATCAGAGAACAGGAGTCGTCCCCAATCTCGAATCTGCCAATGCCGAACCCGCCTGTCCCATATCAACTGCTATGTAGGTGTTATGGCGTCAACGTCGTTCGCCGTGACACTGTTGACTGACACGATGTCCGAGCGCCGTCGATGCCATTGCTGTCACAGGGATGAAGTGGTGTTAGAGATGAAGTCCACAGATGTAACGGCATGGCCTGCCTGCCGTAAACGTCGCATCAACCTGGTTATGCAAAAACGAGTGCAACCGAATGTTCTTGCCACGTTGGCATGTGTGGATTCCTCTTGGTCTAAACAATTTCCCTCTATGTCTGGATTGCTTTTAAACGAGGCATGTGTATGCTTTTGTTTCCTTGTTCCGGACGTGTGCTGTCAGCAGCTTTTTATTCCAGCTTTGCAGCGCATTTCGTTCACAAAATGCACGTTCTTCAATACAATTTACACTTTCTCAGGCTACATGACATTGAATACATTTGGTTGTATTTGTGCGACATATTTGAACGCGACATGATTTCAATGTTATACTTTGATGCATGTCAACTTTAACAATTTCTTCGTGTACTTTCCTTTGGACGTCAGTTTTGTTTATTCAAGATGATACTCGTTTTCATTTGCAGAAAGAAAAATGAAGAAATATAATGGCATTTCAGCCCTCTAAATAAAATTATCAAAAAGCACAATTATTGAGAACTGTCTTCGATCAATTTTGGGCCTGTGGAGGTATAAACGTAAAATCCGGTGTGTTAACTGTGTAAATCTGAACTTTTAGGTTAACAACTCCTTAAACACAAATACATATTAAAGTCAATTCTTATAAATACATACAACAATAAGTTCACGGGTTTATTTAATTGTTATTTAATTATAAATACACACAAAACAAAACCCGTGACATCGTTCTGCGCAATAATGCAACACAAACTCCGCCCATATTATTGTCAACCATTGAGAAAAAAGCAGTTTGTTAGAGGGCGTGTCCTATTTTTTCGGTTTATGGAATCAAACGCAAAAAATATTGCTTAGTTAGCCAAGCAATGTCACCGAATCGCTTGCAATTTAATTATTTCGTTTTGAACACTTGAATCAATGTATGACGTCATGAACAATGGATCACGTCAGATCCTTTGATTTTACTGAAACAATGTGACGTCATGTTGCTTCAACGGACCAATCAGCATGCAGAATGGGTAAAATACACATATGCAAATATCGGTAGGTGAGTACACTCGATTACTCTACCCTTACGAGTTGTGTTAAATTGTACATCGCATTTAGCCTTGTGAGCAATGTGATATGTAAATTCCTACCCAAGTAGTGCATATGGTTCCAGCCTGTCATCAGATGGACCGGTTCCGACATGATCAGCCGGGTACATTCAGGGGTACATGAAGACTTCTTGACCACTCTGGGCATGCCGGGAGGGATGTCCAGGTGCATCTGGCCGGTCGTTAAGTAGGCGGCGTTGTAGCGTCTCAGTTGTTTTGTTACAAACAGGGTTAGGCCAGAGCTGTCGATGTAGTCCGTCCTCTTTTGGGGGTTCGTCCAATGGAACTGTAAAACAACGCCAAAATCATTGTAGTAATTAACCTGTCGGATTCCGGGTTGGAACAGGTCCTCAGCAACCTATACTTGTGTACGAGACGACTGGTGGTCAAACTCGGTGGCTGGTTGAGAGCGAATATAGTTGCTCAAATTACGATCACAGGTTGTACTGGACAAGACTCGATTATTTACATTACATAGCTGGAATACTGAGTGTGGCGTTAAACACGGAACAAACATTGCAGATGCATATCAGAGGTCTCGGGGAAGTGTATTTCACTGTGCAGAGTTATCTCCGCATGTGTGACAGGATCGTTTAATATTAAAAACATGTCATTATCATATCAATATTTGTAGTTCATACAAATTAAAAAAATATGTCAGGCAAGGCATACCTGCATGTTGAGCCTTGTAATCCCTGCCAGCTTGCCAATTTTAAAGCCTGCCTCCCGATATACGCACTCTCCCGGCATCCCGAGCGTCCAGGTCTGCAGGGTCTTTTGACATCCGGTCGGTGCCATATTACATACCCCAGGCTTTCTTAATGGGCTGCCTGAATAAATATATGCATCAGTATTATTTGTGAGTTGTACTGATGAAGTATCGTAACTATCTTGCAGTATTCAGACAAATACGTTCCGCACAACACACGCACAACTCGAGAAGTAGTACCACCGATCTTCCACTGAATTATCGCGGTAGTTGCGGTCAATTTGCGGAAGTTCTGCAGATATCGATTTAAGATTGTTGCGCTGTAATTTATGCCACCTACTTGTAGCGTCACACCCCGTGATGACGATGTGATGCATGACGTTGGCGTTGTCGATGAAGGGTTTGCTGCCAATGAGATGATACTCTGAATCTTCTTCAAGCATGTCAAGTTCAAACGTTAAGCACATGTAGGTCGTTTCCTCAGCGGGGATGGCAGTAGGGGGGAACCGCAGCGTTATGTTCATCACATCTGCATGTTACATATAAAAGTACAAAAATGAAGCAATGTAAATTGTATGTCATCGCCAACAAAGCAGAGGTTTGTATAGTGTATACAACCCCGTAAAGAAGTGATTCACTCACTCACTCACTCACTCACTCACTGGACATGTATTTGATTGAATTAATTGAATTTAAGAATATAATGTACGCTAATGGAGCAATGTTCATCCCGATTAGCACATATCTAGAGGACCCGTGAAGATCCGGGGTAGAGTAGGTCTTCAGCAACCCATGCTTGCCGTAAAAGGCGATTATGCTTGTCGAAAGAGGGACTATCGGGATCGGTCGGTCAGGCTCGCTGACTTGGTTGATTCATGTCATCGTATTTCGATTGCGTGGATCGATGTTCATGATATCAATCACTGGATTGTCAGGTCCAGACTCGATTATTTACAGACCGCCGTCATATAGCTGGAATATTACTGAGCGCGGCGTTAAGAAACGAACAAAACTGGCATTTCATTTTGTGCTGTGTGGTCCTTAAGGCTGTCACATACGTACCTTGGCCGTTGATACCGTCACATTTGAACTCTCCCGTTTCACACGTGACGGCCTGGTTTGCTACTCGGCATTGGTCGCTGCCCCATGGGTCACAGACTCCTAAAATGTATTAAGGGTGAGTTTGTTTCAAAGACTTCAAAACATGAACTGTATCACTGTGTTTCCGGCTTTCCCCAAATCAGTACTGTCCAGACTAACGGGGTTTTTTTTTGTTTTATTATGAATATACCCAGACTTCGATACTTTTACATTTATGGAAGTATAAACATATCACAGGTGTGCAGACAGGTTTCTACGTTTCTAACCCCTTAGACACAAACAGGAAACGTAATGGGCGGTAGTGGGCGCGGCCTATTTTGTTTTCGGTTTATGGAAACATAAACGCAAAATTTTAAATCACTGAGTGAAGGACGAATGTTTTATTTCTCTCGGCTTTGCAATCCTCATGTCACGACCGAAATTAGAAACATGTTTACCAGTAAATAAGATTCCATTATATATTGCATTGGATCAATGAAATCACCGTGTTTCAGAAATCTTTAAAAAGAACTTGGTAGACAAAGTAGACTCACCTGGATGGGTGATACCGGTTGATTCTCGGGGGAAATTGCCCTTTGTCCACACGCAGTTGGGGTCGCCCAACTCTTGACCATTGGTCATCCCATCCCCGTCAGAATCCAGCCGGCACAACTCCTCGGTCCACTGGGAATAAGGGAATGGTGAGCTATAGAGACAATACACAACGTTGACCCACGGGACAGTGCCCTTCTCTAACTCGTGATACTTTCAGAGTGAGTTGGATTCGGATACAAGAGATGGCTCTCACATTTATTTCAATCAAACACGGATCTCCAATTCCTCGTGAATGTATAGTAGATCCGGGTTCGATTCCCACATGGATACACTGTATTAAGCCATTTCTGACGTCACTCGCCGTTATATGACACGCTATTGCTTAAAGCATCATAACGCCTTACCAACAACCAACGAAATTTTCTATCATAACCATTTTAATGAAGCATTACCTGTTGTTCATAACATACAAGGATTTCTTGAATATAGTACTGGAAGTATCACAAGCGCACTTGCCAAATGCCACATATACTGAATGCAATCGTATAAAATGCCTGATTTGCATAAAGCGGCTGTAAAAGTGATTTAATAATATGACAGTGTGGTAATATAATGTGATACTGCAGGATATTATATAATATAATGGTGCTATAATATAATATAACAAATTATTGTGATAATATTGTGCGATATGACAGGATATTATATAATATAATGGTGCTATAAATAGAGAATAAATATATCAATACTCGTTGATAAAAGTGGAAAAACACCTCGGCAAGCCTCGGAGTTTTTTTTTCTTGTGTTGATATAAACTGACGTCCAAAAGAAACTTTACCAACTGAAACTATAAATTTCAGACAAAGTATTAAAAAAAATTCGATGAAGTGTATCTAAAACACATAACCTAATTACAACAATAGTGTATGCAGAAAATTTAATCGTCTGTTACATGTTTGCGAGATAACACGCGAAAAAGAGAAAAACACGTACACCGCGGACAACTGCAAAAGCACGTGGGGGTAAGGGTATAAAACGATTGTAACGGCAACTCAGACATCCACAGTGATGAAAAAAAAACACAAAAGAAATGCCACGACTCACAGTCGAACAACGTGAACGAGCCTTGGGCATGGTACAGATGGGAGCCACCCACGCCCATATTGCACGAACCTTCTGTTGCTCCCGTGTGGCCGTTACCAACTTGATGCAACGTTACAGACAGACAGGTCGGACCGTTGACAGGCCAAGAACAGGCAGGCCCAGGGTGACCACGCCTCATGATGACCGGTACTTGCGTACCTTGCACCTCCGAAATCGCTTCCTGACAGTTACGTCATCGGCGACAAATGCCTTGGGTCACAAGGTTAGTCGACAGTGGCCAGGAGACTCAGGGCTCGTGGAAACTGGCAGAGGGTTGTCTTCACTGACGAAAGTCGATTCTGTATATTTAGGGCTGATTGAAGACAACGTGTTTACCGCCGAAGGGGTGAACGAACGGCGGCGTGTTGCAGGAGGTCGCACCATATGGTGGAGGGAGTGTCATGGTGTGGGAAGTGATTTGTGGGCAGGAGAGGACACCGCTGGTCATCGTTGACGGAAACTTCACAGCTCAGCGTTACATGGATAACATTCTTCGTCCAGTTGTCCTACCATTTCTCCAACAGCAGCCACGTGGTGTCATTTATCAGCATGACAACGCTAGAGCCCATACAGCCATATTTATCTTCTCAGTACACTTTACTTCATGCATGTATGTTTTGTTGTTTTTGAGCAAGAGTGATTTCAAACTCTGGTAAAGTTTCTTTCGGACGTCAGTTTATTTAATATCAAAAGACACGAGGGTGAGATTTTATTTATCATCCAACATCATTCTTCCAACCGTTTCAGTTTGTAGACAGTAATAAGACAGGGTCTTAAGAGTAAAAGGTACTGCTTAAAGCTTCAGTAGGAGAGACATTAGTGATGTCATTTTATTGTGACGTCATAGTGACAAAGCATCGTGATGCAATTGTATGCAGCAATATCTACAATGTAGATATCGCTTGATCTCACCCAAGCAATATCAACTTTGGGAGCCAGTTTTGGATGATAATATGATATAACAAATAATCATTTGAACACTTTGACAAATAAGCAATTTAAAAAAAAACTCTTGTAGTTATATACTATTCAATTCTTATATCGTTATATAAGCATCGATATTATGGATATGTGCTCCAGGTATCGACTGAAACTGACCAGCTGCTCGAAGATGTCCCACGCACATCATTCGATGTGATACAGCATATTCAGCATTGTTTCATTTTCTTTATAAAAATACATGACATGTAAGTAAAGTGCACATTCCTATTAATTGTGTACCTTGATATAGTTTAAACAATATGCATATACAATATATATTCACACTCAGTTTCGTAACAGTGTGAAATACATCAGCATCTCTATTTAAATAGAAGTATATGTTACAATTAACGTGTGCGTTTACGGTGTACACATGCTGCTTACCCTGTGATAACGGGCGAAGTCCTGTCCAAATGGGTTTCTTGGTCCGCCTCCTAGAGGGTTGGCGTGCCCGACCCCCCACCATAAGTAGTTGGGTTTACATGGGTGGGGCACGTGATCTCCGTTTGGGATCTCATCCTGGTAGAAGCGGAAGGCGGATGTAGTCGCCACCAGCAGAAGGGTGAGAATGCTGATTTAAAGGAAAGAACATGAATCATTAAATCATTTAGCTACTGTAAGTTGTGAACAATATTAGCCAATCTTTGCAACATATGCTTGACGGTAATTCTTTTCATCACAAGCGTTACACTCAGGAAGTTCGTCCTCATCGGATTTTATCATCCAAAACTGGCTCCCACAGGAGATATCGCTTGGGTGAGATCAAGCGATATCTACATTGTAGACATCGCTGCAATATTAGATTGCATAACAATGCTTTGCAGACCATTTTGACGTCATTGTTACCATGACGTTACATTCAAATGACATTATTAATGGCTCTCCTACTGAAGCTGTTAGCAGTACTTTTTACACTAGAGACACCTTTTCATTACTGTCTACAAACTGAAAAAGTTGGAAGAATGATGTTGGATGATAAATGGAATCTCACCCTCGTGTCTTTTGATATCAAATATATCAACACTCGTTGATAAAAGTGGAAAAGCTTCGCGGTAAGCATCGGAGGTTTTTTCCACTTATATTGATATAGTGGTGATATATTTGATATCAAAAGACACGAGGGTGAAATTCTCTTTGTCAAGAGTTGCTTCAGCTGCAGCATCGGCTTTTGAGTTACCTGTAATGCCTACACGACTTCGTAACCAGCAAAAGACGATGTCAGATTGGCCAGCAGAAAGATCATTGAAAAGTTCTATAAAATGTCAAAGATTATGGGATGATTTGAGGTGACACTTTTAAGTGCACGGAGTAAAAAAAAAGATGATGAATATTTCACATTGATTTTGTTGTTTAATAAAGATCAAAGCTGTTATGGATCCAATGATGATCTTGCACTTCATCATCATTCTACTCGTCCGAAAAAATGGATCTGTGAGAATTATAATTTGTTCGTAATTGGTGATATGCTTGTTGATATACCAAAGGACTTTTTAAGCTGGGTAAGAGTGAGGTCTTCCTCTGGCTTCACCAAGTGAGCGAGGAGGAGAAGACAGAAGTCGGGAAGGTGGTAAAATATTTAAGCTGCAGTGATGTGTGATTGAATTTTGCTTCAAAGAGGTGGAACCAGGTTTGGCAAATTTCTAAACAGGTTTTCATACTGAGGGTTTCAAACACAATTTACACTGGGTTTGATTGATTGGAAGGAAATTTAGTGATGTATTGCAGTGATAGCTGAATGTGGCATTGTTCGAGGGGATGTTCATCAGCTCCCAACTGAGTGGATCGATGTTCATAATGTCAACCACTGGATTGTCTGGACAAGACTCGATTACTTAGAGATCGCTGTCATATAGCTTGAAATATTGCTAAGTGCGGCGTTAAACAACAAACAAACAAATGCTAAAGATTTACAACTAGTCATGTACAAATATTGAGGTGGCAAAAATTACCATAAATACAAGAGAAATATCTACAAGAACTAGATAGTCTCGCCACAGCACGAAAATCAATGTTACTAAAACACGTTCCATGCATGGCTAATGTAGCAAATATATATGAGATAACATATATCAAATCAATACATGATAATCCCTAGTCTGTTACCTATTTCATACAATGGAACAACCCAAGAAACACGAATAGATTGAGATTAATATTTAATTACGATAACGATATTATTCAAAATTCAGAATACATTATAATAAAATATTCATTTTTCAAAATTCGACTTTCAAGTATCTATATATACTAAACCTAGCCATCTCAACTGTAAATCGTCTCATCTCAGTTTCTCAGTGTAATAATTTTTTCTTCCTATTGTTATTTTTGTAATTTCTAAAAATTGTCTTCTCATCATACAGGCATCTTTCATTACACTTACATTAATTTTTTTTTTTTAATTTCCTCTAAGTCCCCTAATCCCCTAAAGCTCTACCCCTTTCATTTCTACTACCTCTACTCCAGACCTTAATCTCTCCTTTAGGTGAGTTCATAGTGCCAGACAGGTAAATGCCGCGTGTTGTTTTAACTAATTGTAGGGTAGCTGGGTTGTAGGGGAAATGGGATGTAGGGGTTTTGGGAGATAACCCACACTAGAGTACGGGCGAACGCCGGATTTTGCCAAACGATGACGACGCCGGGCAATTAAGGGAGAGGGGGGCGGTGCTCGTCACGAGACCGTGACCAGACGTTTCTCGGCCCGGGGACAGTGTTCACACTGTTGATAGAAAGCGCGGAATGTTACCTGTTTCAACAAACAATAAGGGTATCCAACCTTAGCGCGGGGAAGACTCACGTGGTTCATTCTACACAAAGGGGCATGGAGCACGCTGGTGAACAACTTCCATTAGTGTACCCACAACTGGTTGAGTTAAAATGTGTAATGGCTTAGATAGGTATACTCGTTACATTCCAATGCTGGGAAATCACATGATGTTTACGTCTACTGAACGAAGACGGAATAGACGTTGTCGTTATATATATTTGTTTCTAGCACATCATTTCAAAGCTGTGACTTAAAGGGTTAAATTAGCTTACTTCTATGCACAGCGAAAGTCGCATTGTTGTTGACTCGTGCTCATAATATACAGAGGGCATTATATAAACATGTTTATTTCATCAAGTGACCCGTGAAAGTTCTTTAAGAAATATACGTGTTGTATTTTTTCATCACTAAAGTGACATGTAGTTATCATCCACAACAAGTCGACTTTTAACTTGAATCGTGATAGAATTATACGTTTTCTTAATCCCTACAGTGAATTGGGTTTAACTTAACGCCGGTTTTAACAGTATTCCGTTAATATCAAGGCTTAATGTGGGAGGAAAGCCCGACGTCATGCAGTTCTCAGACGTTGACCACTTCGGTGAAATCCACGAGCACGGGTATGGTGCTGACAAACCTAGAAACATAATCGGGGCGAACCGGGATTCGAACCCACAATCATAGGTTTCTGGCGTGCCCAAGGACGCAACTCCGCACAGCGAATCGCGGCGCCTTCGACGACTGGGAGGAATGCATACAAGTGAACAGTAAGAAAGATAAGTGGGTCAGCGCAGCTTTTAGCAGTATTGCCAGACAGATTAATGTCGCCGTAAGTAATTTTGAGAAAACACGAACACAGGTAAATGTGTGATGCTGACAAATAACATAACAGGGCAAATCTTGGAATCGGACCCACGATCCGCGGATTCTGATGGACAAGGGGGGCAATTCTGCACATAGGGTTAGGACAGTATTGAGCATCCCTGTCCCTGTAAGGCACATAAGAAAATCACCGAATGGGGACTCAATACGAAACGATTACACTGGCAATAAAACAAACGGCGAATGTCTTCAACTGGAAAACAATACTTCTTAAAGAGTTCCACTGATCTTGTTCATTCGCACACTAAGTAAAGGGCCGTTTGTTCGAAGTACACCTTTACGCTTATCACATGATCAGACATGCACAATCGTTAACTCACTTACCCTAAGTTAAACATAGCGCTGAGATTTACTTGAACTTGACAAGAATGTGCTCGCCGAACCCTCTTGTCGCGATTTTTGACAAAGCTCAATGGTTACTGCTTATGTACGTTTGTAAGTGAACCCGTGCTCAAAACAGGGAGGGCAGAGAGTTGGTGACAGCCTTTCATCACAAGCCACTGATCACACAGATATTATGGCCGTCTCTTTATATTTATGCGTGACCCTGCGGTCAAACTCCAAAACGAGGCTATCCCCGCAAGCTGTCGAAATGGCATGGGAACATCGCTGTGTCCTCGAATGACCCGAGGACGGTAGGGCGCTTTTTGTGTTTTTGTTTTTATGGCCTGGAGCCCACTTAATGAGCCTGAAAGGATTAGGATTTTTGGGTGTCGGCAAACATACTTACTTACTTACTTACTTTGGAGATTTAACGTGCGCTTTCCGACTGATGCGTATTTCGCACACGGGCCCGGCCAGGCCATTTAATGTGTTTCCGAAAGGGGCGAAAGTGGTGTGTGCAACCCAAGAGGGGGCTTTAGGGGTTGCTTATATAGAATTTGGGAATTTTGAGATTTGGAATAGATGCCGATGGGGTAGGGGAGGAGAACTAAGGGAGCTGGATATGGTGGATTTTTGTGTGTTTATGTAATTTTGATTTGGTGGATTATAGTGTTTTTAGATGCGTTTTATTAGTTCCGTTTTGATTAAGAATACGCCTAAGGCCTTGAAGTTTTCTAGTTTATTTTGTGGGTTTAGTATTGCTTCTAGAGTGAGAGCCTGGTTTATATTGAGGGTGGTTTGTAATGCGGTTCGATGTGTTAGGTAGTGTGTGCAGTAGATGAGTGCGTGTTCTGGGGTTTCTAGTTGTTTGCAGTGTGGGCAGTTACCTGTAGTATGTTTTTTTTATTTTTTTTAGGTGGTTATTTAGGTTGGTGTGTCCTGTTTGGAGTTTAGTGATTACTCTGTCGATTTTTTTTGATGGATGGTGAATTTTTGGTTTGGTTAGTGGTTTGCTGAGTACTTTTTTGATTTGGCTATTTGAGTTTAGATATAGGTTATGCCATTTTTTGGTCGTTGGAGCTTTTAAGTATTAGATTTATTAATTTAGGTCGGTTTTTGGTATTTTTGTTTTGGAGGGCTTGCAGTCCACTTAGGGAGTCGGTAAGTATTAGGATTTTATTGTGGTTTTTGGATTCTTGACTATGGAGGGCTGAGGCCATGCCCATTAGTTCTGCCGTGAATATTGATTGGTTGTTTGGGAGTCGGAAGGATTGTGTAGTTTTAGTTGGTTGTGTGGTATGGACTCCGAAACCTGTGTGTTTGGAGGTCGGATCTGAAGATCCGTCCGTGTAAATGTGACACCAATTTGGCCAATTTTCGTGTATGTATGCTAGTGTAGTGGTTTTAGCTATGTTTGGGTCGGTTTGTTTATTTATTTGGCTAGCTAGTGTTGTGTCTATTTTGGGTATTTTAAGTTTAGGGGTGAAGATATTTGATTGTTTGCAGTTTTGTTTAAGATTTTTAATTTTGTGTTCATTTAGGTAGTTTGTTATTCTTTGGGATATTGGGGTAAGTAAGGGGTGTTTACGAGCTAGAGCTTGGTTTTTGGGGCTGATATTCTGGTTTATTAGGTTTTGGATCAGAGGGTTTGATTGGGATGCGGCCCAGAAATTTAAGCTTAGCTGTTCCCTGCGTAGACTTAGTGGCATTTCTCCTGTTAAGGCCTGAAGTGAAGTGTAGGAGGTGCCATGTTGGGTGCGTGTAATTAGTTTGAGAGCCTGATATTGTATTGAGTCAAGTTTTTTAGATAGAGAGTTGTTTAGGGTGTTGTATATGGCGCAGCCGTAGTCTAGTTTTGATCTTATTAGTGATATGTAGAGTGAGAGGAGGGTATCTTTGGAGGCTCCCCAGTTTGAGCCAGTGAGGCATCTTAGGGTGTTTAGGTCTTTACTGCATTTAGTTGTTAGGTTTTGGATGTGAGCATCCCAGGTGAGATGTTGATCGAAAATAAGTCCTAAGAATTTGGTTTGTTTTTGAAATTTGATTGTTTGGTTGTTTAGCTGGAGGATTGGGGAGGCGGGTTTCATGTTTTTATGTTTGAATACTATTCCTGTTGTTTTTTCTGAGTTAAGGGAGAAGCCCCATTTGTCAGCCCATTGTTGTATTTTATTAAGAGATTTTTGGAGTAAATTTTGGGCCATATTAATACTTTTTGTGCGGATCCAGAGGGCTCCATCATCCGCGAATTTGGATGTGTTTACTTTAGGGGATAGGCCCTCGGCAAACATTCGGCGTATCCCCTCTTATCATAAGCCCCCTTCCGGGCATGACCATTAATCTCCAGCGCTATCTATACATGTCAATTAACACCACCTTACATACTTACATACTTTCTTAAATTAGGAATTAAACGTGCGCTTTCCGACATATGCGTATCTCGCGCACGGGCCCGCCAAGCCATTTGGTGTTTGGTCGAAAAGGGTATGTCCGAAAAGGTGAGGCAACCTAGGTGGGACTCTTTAGGGCTGCTTACTTAATTTGGAGAAAAAGTTTGAAATTTTGAAATATGCAATAAAAGGTGTGTGTGTGTGTGTGTGTGTCGGGGGGAGACTAAAGGAGTTTGTGTGTTTTTATAGGTTTAGAATTTTAGGGTTTATTGGCAACTTGTTTGTTGTACTTTTATTTTTAAATGCGGCCGAGTAGGCCTGTTTGGATTAGATATATGCCTAGTGCTTTTAAGATTTGTAAGTCATTTAGTTGCTTATGTCATTTGATTGTTGCAATTTAGTGTGGATTGGGGTGTTGTTCTGTGTTGCTGGTAATGTGTGCAATATAGTATTACGTGTTCAGGAGTTTCTTTTAAGTTGCAGTGGGGGCATTTGCCGGTTTGGTTTTTTTTTTTAATTTGGTGTAGGTGGGAGTTTAACTTAGTGTAGCCTGTTTGTAGTTTAGTTATTACTCTGTCAATTTTTTTGGTTTTATGATGTATTTTTGTTTTTTTGAGTGGCCTTTGTAGCAGGTGTTTTAGTTTGCAGTCAGATTTCTGATAGTTATTTTGCCACTTTTGGAAGATTTTTTTCCATTCTGATACTTTTAATTTCGTTTTTTGATATTGGTAGGTTGATGCTTACTTCTTCTGATTTTAATGCTGATTTAGCTGCTTTGTCTGCGTGTTCGTTGCCAAACACTCCAAAACAACTCCTATTTCTATGTCTTTACCTAGTTTACTTAGATTGTTGGCGCTTTTAATCATCTATTGTATTAGTTTAAGGCGCATTTTGTGTTTTTGTTTTTTATGACCTGGAGCCCACTTAAAGAGTCTGAAAGGATTAGGTTTTTTTGGTGTCGGCAAACATTCGGCGCATCCCCTATTATCATAAGCCCCCTTCCGGGCGTTTTTTTTTGTATTTTTGTTTTTTATGGCCTGGAGCCCACTTAATGAGTCTGAAAAGATTAGGGTTTTTGGGTGTCGGCAAACATTCGGCGTATCCCCTCTTATCATAAGCCCCCTTCCGGGCATGACCATTAATCTCCAGCGCTATCTATACATGTCAATTAACACCTCCTTACATACTTACATACTTTCTTAAATTAGGAATTAAACGTGCGCTTTCCGACATATGCGTATTTCGCGCACGGGCCCGCCTAGCCATTTGGTGTTTGTTCGAAAAGGGTATGTCCGAAAAGGTGAGGCAACCTAGGTGGGGCTCTTTAGGGTTGCTTCCTTAATTTGGAGAACAAATTTGGAATTTTGAAATATGCCATGCAAAAGGTGTGTGTGTGTGTGGGGGGGGGGGGGGGACTAAATAGAGTTTGTGTGTTTTTATAGGTTTAGAATTTTAGGGTTTATTGGCAGCTTGTTTGTTGTACTTTGTTAGATGCGACCGAGTAGGCCTGTTTGGATTAGATATATGCCTAGTGCTTTCAAGATTTTTAAGTCATTTAGGGGGTTTAGTACCGTTGCTAATGTCATTTGATTGTTGCAATTGTGTGTGGATTGGAGTGTTGTTCCGTTTTGCTGGTAATGTGTGCAATATAGTATTACGTGTTCAGGAGTTTATTTTAAGTTGCAGTGGGGGCATTTGCCGGTTTGGTGTTGTGTAATTTGGTGTAGGTGGGAGTTTAACTTTGTGTGGCCTGTTTGTAGTTTAGTTATTACTCTGTCATTTTTTTCTTCCTAATTATAGTGCTGATTTAGCTGCTTTGTCTGCGTGTTCGTTGCCTGTGGGCAGGGATCCAGACTATTTCTATGTCTTTACCTAGTTTTCTTAGATTGTTGGCGCTTTTAATTATCTATTGTATTAGTTTAGGGCGCTTTTTGTGTTTTTGTTTTTTTATGGCCACTTAATGAGTCTGAAAGGATTAGGGTTTTTGGGTGTCGGCAAACATTCGTCGTATTACTTCTTACCATAAGCCCCCTTCAGGGCAGGACCCTTAATCTCCAGCGCTATATATACATGTCAATTAACACCTACTTACGTCGCCGGATCTTACGAAGAAGAAGAAGAAACTTCAGCGGCCGGCCAAAATGGCCTACGAGACACTAAAAGACTCATAGAAACAATATTTTATATGTGTACACACCACATTTAATAGTATCCTATACACACACAACCACATCCATTCTCACATCCAGGCCTTCACACACAACAGCTTACCCAAACCACGCAAACACACCCGCTCATTCAGACACATCCAAACCCTCATTGACATCCGTTCAATCACATCCGAACTCTCGCCCGAACCCTCACCCACACCATCACACATTACTCTCACGCACACCCTATTTCTTAAACACACCCTCACCTGTATCCATTCCCGCATCCACACCAACTCCCTCATCCTCACCACCAACCATTTCCTCACTCGCATCCACATCCCTCCCCGCCTTCGCAAAAAAGAAGCACCAACCACGCACAAAGACACCAACAAAGCAACAATCCACCGCCGTATCCACACACTCCCAACCAATGAAACTTTGAAACAAATCAACATGAAACAAGCACACAGCACAACCCCACGGGCCAGCCACCCATCACAACCCACAGCACCCCCACACATCAACCCTACAACACAGCAAAACATGACAGATGATAAGAATTATCACACGCACACAACTTCCCAGTTTATTGTTTTATATCATATTTTCTTCTCCGAAACATTGAGAAGATTAATCCAGCAAGTGTTTTAACCAATTCGTCGCACTGTATTAAGAATACGGTTCAGTCTGCCGGAGACATGGTAATAAACGAGGGTTTAATAAGGGATACTTTCTGCCAAAGATTAAGTCTTAGATCTCTATAACAGTCACACGTTACCAAAATGTGAACTTCATCTTCAACAGTTTGCCGTTACATAATTTACAGATGCGTTCAGAAACAGGGGTTTTCGTGCGTGTATAACGACCTCTTTCTAATTCTAAGGGTAAAGTTCCACAGCGAAGTTTAGCTAAAGTGCTTCGTCGTGATCTATCCAGAATATGACGTACATAAAATGAAACATTCAGTGTATTTGTAAACAATCTAAACGTTCTAAGCTTATTACCTGTAGTATGGCCAGTGTCATTCCAAAGTCCACGAAACCAGTTTTCTCCATCAAGTTCTATCAATTTTGATTTCAAAATTTGGAAATCTATATTACCAATATTATACAGATCCAAAAATGGTAGATCCAAAGAACCAAACATTCCTACAACTCTGCTGTCCCAGGACTGTCGGTATGACAGGGACCAATTTCTGATACGAGCTATAATTCTTTGCGGGGGGAGCTGAATTCAACTTCTTCCAGAAACGCACAACTTCGATTAATATGTTTAGTAATAATCGATGACCGACCCAACTCCCCTCTTACGGCCAAATTAGGAGTAGTTTTTCCTACACCCAAGAAAAAGCGGCACGCTCTTTTTTGGATGGCATTTATGCAACTAAATTCTCTGGTTCCCCAAATTGCTGCACCATAGGTTAAGATAGGTTGTACAAGATTATCATACAAAGTACTGAAAACACCATATGTCATTCCTCCAACGTATTTAAATTTACTTATAATTACACTGAGGGTTCTTCCATCAGATTTAGCAATTTGTTATGCTGTGAAATTTAAATCTAGGTGTTCCTGGAGCCAAAGTCCCAAATATGTATATGCATTACAAATTTCAATATTCTATATATAACGACTTCACTGCAGACAAATATTTTCCGTGGACACCAAGTTTAAGTAATTTGTACCAAAGACAGTCCCTGTTTACTCTGTCAAACGACTTCATTGCGTCTATATAGCATACAAATGTAGAACGTTTTTTGAAATTTCCTTTTATTAATAACAGAATATAAGGAGTATATATTTTCTACAGTGTCCCGCTTTCTTCGGAATCCATTCTGCTCCTCGGCCAAAATAGTATTACGTTCATGCCACTTTGTAAACCGTGTGTTTAAAATATCAGAATAGACTTTACAGGGTACATGTACCCCTGGATGATCAGCATGCAGACTTCTTGACCACTCTGGGCATGCCGGGAGGGATGACCAGGCGTGTCTGTCCGGTCGTTAAATAGGCGGCGTTGAAGCGTCTCAGTTGTTTTGTTACAAACAGGGTTAGGTAAGAGCTGTCGATGTAGTCCGTCCTCTTTTGAGGATTCGTCCAGCGGAACTGTAAAACAACGCCAAGAAAATTGTAGTATGTAACCTGACGGATTCCGGGCTAGAACAGGTCCCCAGCAACCTTTGCTTGTCGTACGAGACGACTGGTGGTCATGCTCGGTGGCTTGGTTGAGAGCGTGTCATTATACGCCGGTGGCGAAAATAGTTGCTCATAATATCAATCATTGGTTGGACTCGTTGGTTTGTAGCTGGAATATTGCTGAGAGTGGCGTTAAACACTAAACTTACACTGTAGTTGCATATCGGGGGTCTCGGGGAAGTGATTTCCTTACCACTATATACATCTACGTTGTATACTGACACCCTGTGTGTAAATGTACCACTATATACAGCTACGTTGTATACAGACACCCTGTGTGTACATGTACCACTATATACAGCTACGTCGTATACTGACACCCTGTGTGTACATGTACCACTATATACAGCTACGTTGTATACTGACACCCTGTGTGTACATGTACCACTATATACAGCTACGTTGTATACTGACTACCTGTGTGTACATGTACCACTATATACAGCTACGTTGTATACTGACTACCTGTGTGTACATGTACCACTATATACAGCTACGTTGTATACTGACACCCTGTGTGTACATGTACCACTATATACAGCTACGTCGTATACTGACTACCTGTGTGTACATGTACCACTATATACAGCTACGTTGTATACTGACACCCTGTGTGTACATGTACCACTATATATAGCTACGTTGTATACTGACACCCTGTGCATACATGTAAAGGAAGGTATTAGATTCCATTGCCTTATTCAGAAAAAATGCGAAACATCTACGGGTTCTTTTCGACTGTTATTTCATGTTGGACCTTCTTTCTGTCATTGCTGAGGCGATGGGGTAGCCTAGTGGTTAAAGCGTTCGCTAGTCACGCCGAAGACCCGTGTTCGATTCCCAACATGGGTACAATGTGTGAAGCTCATTTCTGATGTCCCTTGCGTGTTATTGCTGGAATATTGCTAAAAGCGGCGTAAAACCATACTCACTCACTTACTGCTGTCATTGCTGACCACAGCAAACACAGCGACCGTGTGTGACCTCACAGACTGCAACTGCTGCGCTACAGACGGCCTTTCACGTGGCGAGGTCTATGCTGATTATTTGTCCGCTGTGGACTCAAAGTGCGTTGTGGGATTTTCATTTAGTGTGGAAGCCTCGGTGGCTGAGTGGGTTAGATCGCTGACTTTCTGTGCTGGTGATTAGGTGCATCACCCTGGCAGGTGTGGGTTCGAATCCCGGACGGGACAAGATTCTGTACTCTACTAAGAAAGTGTTATCCCAAATATAACATTTGTTACGTGTGTATCATTGCACACACAAGCAGTGCACGCCAATATTCGTTTTTCAAGGAATGAGAAAACATGACAAAGGCACAACTCTGTTAATCTAAGCAAAATCAAATCCTACAATTTGCCCAGTCAAGTCACTGACCACATAGGGGCGGTCGGGTAGCCTAGTGATTAAAGCGTTCGCTCGTCACGCCGAAGACCAGGGTTCAATTCCCGACATGGGTACAATGTGTGAAGCCCATTTCTGGTGTACCCCGCCGTGATTTTGCGGGCATTTTGCTAAAAGCGGCGTAAAACCATACTCACTCACTCACTCACTAACCACAGTTCGTCATCCATTTAAATGGTGAACCTGCCACCAGATGCGAGTTGTCTGCCTTACGGCACAAAGCCTTAACGTTCCTCAACTGTCACACACACTCACTCAGACATACACACACGAGCCGTGAAGATTCGGGGTAGAATAGGTCTTCAGTAACCCATGCTTGCAGTATAAGGCGACTATGCTTGTCGTAAGAGGCGACAAATGGGATCGGGTGGTCGGCTCACTAACTGGGTTGTCATCGTATCCCAAATGCGTGGTTCGATGCTCATGATGTCAGTCACTGGAATGTCTTGTCCAGACTCGATTATTTACAGACCGCCGTCATATAGCTGGTATACTGCTGAGTGCGGCGTTAAACAACAGACAAACAAAACACACACACACACACACACACACACACACACACACACACACACACACACACACACACACACACACACACACACACACACACGTTATACCCACACATGATACACATACATGATACATGCACACACACATAATACACACACACATTACACACACACATACACACACATAATACACACATACATGTAGTACACACACTGGCTGCAAGAACCAACTAATACGATGCTCCAGTTGTTATCATGCGTGACATCGCCGATTCCTAACATCAGTATGGGGCGTTCCTGTTTCTATCAACCACTAGTAAGCCAGTGTCAGTCACGAATATTTACAGGCTTGCGACATACAGTTGGACGGTGACTGGTTGCTGTGTATTGCATTCCTTCACGCTATCTGGATAAGCTTACAAGTCCACATGCCAAGCAAGTGGTACACTATCTAGTCTAAGGTTTCACCACTATCGTTTACTAATACACAGTAATGAGTGAGTGAGTTGAGTTAAAAGCCGCTTTGAGTGAGTGAGTATGGTTTTACGCCGTTTTTAGCAATATTCCAGCAATATCACGGCAAGGGTCACCAGAAATGGGCTTCATACATTGTACCCATGTCGGGAATCGAACCCGGGTCTTCCTCGTGACGAGCGAACGCTTTAACCACTCGGCTACCCGACCGCCCCAAACGCCGCTTGGAAAAAAATAAGTTATATATGGTGGATAGAGGTTAATGAGGGAGAAAAGCCCGAAGGGATGCAGGCATCAGACGCCTACCACATTGGTAAACCCCACAAGCACGGATGTGGTGCTGACAATCCTAGAAATATAATCTGGGCGAATCGGGATTCGAACCCACAATCACAGGTTTCTGGCGTGCCCAAGGGACGCAACTCTGCACCGAGAATTGAGGCGTCTGGGACGTCAGGCCACCCGTGCCCCCACGTATAATGAGCCAACCATCTTTTTATACATAATATCAATCTTCGTGTTTATTTATCATGCACATCAACCCATTTTCCTTGCCGGCCGCTTCAACAGTTATTCTTTATTTGATTCCTCCACATAAATTGCTGAATAACTGTAAACTCACAGATGGAATATATATCACATGTTCGTTGGTTCGATGCCCGATGCGTTATACAACAACACCCGTTAAAAAGATGGTACTTGTTATTTCCTTACCTGGCGCTCGGCATTAAGTTGTCCGGACTGGTCGGCACGTAGTCAGTATACTGTGTCTAAATAATGTGTTAATGTTAAACTGCGGCATGGTGTCTCAGTAGGCCAGCTTATAAAGTTGTACAAGCAGACATACACAGGTTCGTTTATGCACGTCGGTATATACGAGCAGTGATCTTAAATCCCCATTTCACATCGCCTCACATTAAATAATACATGCTATGTTTATGTTCGAAAGGGTCAACTTTTACCTATACTTGTACCACGAGTATAAACACACGAATTCACACTCAATGCGAGAGATGCTATTATATTTCGTACATCTGCACTGGCTGTGATCTGAATGTATTGTGTCTAATTTAGAACAGCAATGCGCGCGCATGCACATTAAAAACTCGTGACTGGGTGCAGTCAAACGTATCGCTCCTCCCACCATGTCATTGTGACCTATACCGGCAAGGTCAAGGTGAACTATTGTAAACACCGCCTAAACCACAAGCCAAGCTAAAACATGGATTTCCTTGAAACTTGCGTTGTTCTGCTTATGGCATATCTTGTTCTGAAGTATTTAGGGGCACTTGTAACTCCGAAGTTAGATCTGGTGATCGGAGGTTACTGTCATCCTAAGTTTAAGAAGGTTGAGGAGCTAATAATGTAGGTTGCGATTGTACGTGTTTGTATGGCATGTACATATGTGTCAGTGAGTGAATGAGGCTTAACGCCGCTTTGAACAGTAGTCCAGATGTATCTCGGCGTCTCAGCATAATGTGGGAGGAAAGCCCGAAGTGATGCGGGTCTCAGACGGTTATCACTTTGGTGAAACCAACAAGGACTTGTATGGTGCTGACAATCCTAGAACCATAATCGGGGCGAACCGGGATTCGAACCCACGATACTAGGTTCCTGGTGTACTCAAATGATGCAGCCCTGGACAGTGAATTGCAGCGCCTTAGGTGACTTGGCCACCCGTACCCCCATATTTATATAGGATGCTACGTACACCTATAGGATATGTTTAAACTGCAATCATTTGCTTTTGTACCCGTGAAGAAAAGGGTTAGAATTGATCTTCAGCAACCCATGCCTGCTGTTAAAGGCGAATTTGCTTGTCGTAACGGCATCAGGTGATCAGGCTCGTTGACTTGGTTAATGCATGTCATCGTATCTAAATTTAGTAGATCGATGCTAATGATGTCAATCGCTGGATTGTCTGGTGCAGATTCGATTATTTACAGATCGCCTACATATAGCTGGAATATTGCGGAGTGCGGAGTTAAACAACAAACACAATCTGCTTTTGTCATTGCTCTCAACACATAGGTTCGTCCCAAACATACCTCTATCGATATGCAGGTGACCTACATGCGACAGTTCAGTCCAAAAGTCTAAACAAATAGTACTGATAAAGATAGGGCTTCGGAATAGAATGGAGAGTAATATCGCTTTGTTGTATTTATAACTTGCACAGACCGGTGACAGGGATAGACATTAACCAATAAAGCCTATTTGCCTAAATAGTGATAACATTCAGCAATACCCCACAAAAATGTTTTGAAATTCTACTAGCCCTAGGGATCAGTGCAACTGGTCCGGGTTAGCGGTCTCGTGTCGATTTCTATCGCTGCAGGGGTAAGGTCGCTTGGGAAACTTGAATTTAAAGGATTATGGGTCAGTACTCTACTTGAACACACAATAACGATAATCCGATAATTTTGTCTCAACCACATTTGAGATGCTTCGGAATCGTACAATGGAATTTTAGTGGATATTTTCTTTTTCTGGCCTTGACGTTTTATGTGATGATTATCAATGATTTTGTCGCCTTTTATTCCTTACTCTACCAATGTAGGTAGTTAGGTAACAGGGAAACAATAAAGAGAAACATTTTACCATAATATCATGAAACCATGATATGAAATTGAAGGAAGGAATGTTGCACGATAAGGTGACTTATCTGACATTGTCCCATAAGTGAATACTGTTTAATTAAGAAATAAACGACGAGTGGGAGTTTTTTGTTGTACAAACAGGCCCGTGTGTTTTTTTCACCCTGCAGTGTTTTATCGTACGACAAACAACGACCACGAGTCGTTTATTTCATATACATGAGATATCAGTATTATGTACAGCCTCTTAAGGATGTAAATAAAATGTTCAAGCTTCAAAAATATTTATCCGTGTTTAAATAATGATGACTCCCTGATTAGAATAGGACCTTGGAAATGTCGGACAATATCATATTATGAACGGGTGTGTGTGGAGTGTGTGTGTGTGTGTGGGGGGGGGGGGGAATTTGGTCTTTCCCGCATATTCTTATAATTTGAACGTCGATTATCTGCACCTTTTCTCCCAATACCGATTGTCATATCTCTCTACCTTGGGGATGCGATTGTTCGGCCATTGCGTTTATCTACGTTGCCTCCCTCTAAAAAATAACGTCGTCTAATTTACTACGTCATCAAGTTGCGAGTTGTTCGAATATCCACAAATGTCGTCATTATATAATGCAAATTGTGAGGCGTGTTCAAAAGGCAGACGGATAGCCATTTTTCTTTATTGCACTGACAAATGTCTTTACTTCTGATATGGTAAAATGCACAAATATGGCTACAATTAGTGAAAAAGGCAGGTATTTAGAACTTTCAATGAAAATCTAAGGTTGAGAAAGTCCGTGACCAAAGATGTATATATGTTTGTAATATTTTGACGTTAATCTCCTATGTTGATCTCCTATGGGTCAAAAACTTTCCCATGTTTAAATATTGGAAAAGAAACGCTTTATGAAAACCTCTAAAATGACCATTTTGACACATGGTATGCTTACCAGTGCATTATCACAAGTCTCAAAGATGCACTTATTGACATGAACAAAGTTTAGTTCTCATTCACATGAACATGTCTTATAATTTTCGTAATTTCGAAACATTAAAGTTCATTCTTAAAGTATGCAGATCACGTGAGGCAAAAAGGGCCCATATCCTACCGTGTCCGATGCATCACAATTTAGGTTTCCATTGCTAGCCGCAGGGAATTGAACATTTGGAGGTTTACACTTTGATGCCGCAGATTAAGTATCCAACATTTGCTCTCACGTATATCGCACACATTTAATATGTTGCGAGGGGACGCTGTTCTCACGATCATGGACTGGTCGATTGTCTTTACGGTTGGCCTGCGATATGAAGAATTGCAGGAAACGTACGCTTAACTTTGGAATCTACGTAAAGATAATTTTGTTTTAAATTCATTTACAACATTGCTGTAAACCTGCAAAGAAAGAAGTTTGAATTCAGATTCTCTTTGCCTTGCAGGAAGAAAGTGATAAGCGGAAAGGAAAAGGGTGGGGCTTTTGCTGTCTATAATCGAGGTGAGGTGTTGATTGACATGTGGGCGGGGTATGCTGATGAGGAAGCCAAGAGGCCATGGACACGAGACACAATGACAGTCACGTTTTCCACTACAAAAAGTATCGCAGCTATAACTATTGCTAAAAAGGTAGAAAGGTAAGGAACAGTCATACCCATGGAGGCATAACCCGAGCAAATGAATGTTCTGTTCAAATCGTATAGTTACTCAACAAAGAACTGATACTGGTATATAAGAAATTATTCATGTGCTGTGTCTAATTCTTTGCACTTTTGCGGAGAATATTGATATAGTTCTCCTAAAGTAAAGTTTAATGTAACTTTGCATAATACCATCAAAGCTGCAGGAATGTGTTACATGTGGTGTGTTGAAAATAAGAAATTCATCATTACTTTTGTAACCACCATTCTGTTGATCCCATGTATTACTATTTTAATACTGTATTAATGTGAACAGTATTGCTGATTCTTTTATTGTACCAACTGCTAATATACCAGCATTCATGGGGTGAAAACCTATTTAAATGTATTATGGGCCTGTGAACTTACATTTCTGAAATAAGTCTGTGTCTATGTCTATGGAAAGACATAATAAAATGGGTTTTTTGAAGAGGATGTGTATTTTAAAGCTATCGTAAATTTCAGTGGTTGGTTGGACTACAGCAACCTTGTATCCGACTATTGGCCAGAGTTCGGCTGTAACGGAAAAGAAAACATTACAGTTGAAATGCTGCTCAGCCATCAGGTAGGTAGATGAAGAACAGGATGTGCAAATATCAGGACCACCAGAAACACAGTTACTGCATCAAGTAGGTAGATGAAGAACAGGATGTGCAAATATCAAGACCACCAGAAACACAGTTACTGCATCAGGTAGGTAGATGAAGAAAAGGATGTGCAAATATCAAGACCACCAGAAACACAGTTACTGCATCAGGTAGGTAGATGAAGAAAAGGATGTGCAAATATCAGGACCACCAGAAACACAGTTACTGCATCAGGTAGGTAGATGAAGAAAAGGATGTGCAAATATCAGGACCACCAGAAATACAGTTACTGCATCAGGTAGGTAGATAAAGAAAGGGATGTGCAAATATCAGGACCACCAGAAATACAGTTACTGCATCAGGTAGGTAGATAAAGAAAGGGATGTGCAAATATCAAGACCACCAGAAATACAGTTACTGCATCAGGTAGGTAGATGAAGAAAAGGATGTGCAAATATCAGGACCACCAGAAACACAGTTACTGCATCAGGTAGGTAGATGAAGAAAAGGATGTGCAAATATCAGGACCACCAGAAATACAGTTACTGCATCAGGTAGGTAGATGAAGAAAGGGATGTGCAAATATCAGGACCACCAGAAACACAGTTACTGTATCCGGTAGGTAGATGAAGAAAAGGATGTGCAAATATCAGGACCACCAGAAACACAGTTACTGCATCAGGTAGGTAGATGATGATAAGGATGTGCAAATATCAGGACCACCAGAAATACAGTTACTGCATCAGGTAGGTAGATAAAGAAAGGGATGTGCAAATATCAAGACCACCAGAAATACAGTTACTGCATCAGGTAGGTAGATGAAGAAAATGATGTGCAAATATCAAGACCACCAGAAATACAGTTACTGCATCAGGTAGGTAGATGAAGAAAAGGATGTGCAAATATCAGGACCACCAGAAATACAGTTACTGCATCAGGTAGGTAGATAAAGAAAGGGATGTGCAAATATCAAGACCACCAGAAATACAGTTACTGCATCAGGTAGGTAGATGAAGAAAAGGATGTGCAAATATCAGGACCACCAGAAACACAGTTACTGCATCAGGTAGGTAGATGAAGAAAAGGATGTGCAAATATCAGGACCACCAGAAATACAGTTACTGCATCAGGTAGGTAGATGAAGAAAAGGATGTGCAAATATCAGGACCACCAGAAATACAGTTACTGCATCAGGTAGGTAGATGAAGAAAGGGATGTGCAAATATCAGGACCACCAGAAATACAGTTACTGCATCAGGTAGGTAGATGAAGAAAAGGATGTGCAAATATCAGGACCACCAGAAACACAGTTACTGCATCAGGTAGGTAGATGAAGAAAAGGATGTGCAAATATCAGGACCACCAGAAATACAGTTACTGCATCAGGTAGGTAGATAAAGAAAGGGATGTGCAAATATCAGGACCACCAGAAACACAGTTACTGTATCCGGTAGGTAAATGAAGAAAAGGATGTGCAAATATCAGGACCACCAGAAACACAGTTACTGCATCAGGTAGGTAGATGAAGATAAGGATGTGCAAATATCAGGACCACCAGAAATACAGTTACTGCATCAGGTAGGTAGATAAAGAAAGGGATGTGCAAATATCAAGACCACCAGAAATACAGTTACTGCATCAGGTAGGTAGATGAAGAAAAGGATGTGCAAATATCAGGACCACCAGAAATACAGTTACTGCATCAGGTAGGTTGATGAAGAAAAGGATGTGCAAATATCAAGTCCACCAGAAACACAGTTACTGCATCAGGTAGGTAGATGACGAAAAGGATGTGCAAATATCAGGACCACAAGAAACACAGTTACTGCATCAGGTAGGTAGACGGAGAAAAGGATGTGCAAATATCAGGACCACCAGAAACACAGTTACTGCATCAGGTTGGCAGATGAAGAAAAGGATGTGCAAATATCAGGACCACCAGAAACACAGTTACTGCATCAGGTAGGTAGATGAAGAAAAGGATGTGCAAATATCAGGACCACCAGAAATACAGTTACTGCATCAGGTAGGTAGATGAAGAAAAGGATGTGCAAATATCAGGACCACCAGAAACACAGTTACTGCATCAGGTAGGTAGATGAAGAAAAGGATGTGCAAATATCAGGACCACCAGAAATACAGTTACTGCATCAGGTAGGTAGATAAAGAAAGGGATGTGCAAATATCAGGACCACCAGAAACACAGTTACTGTATCCGGTAGGTAAATGAAGAAAAGGATGTGCAAATATCAGGACCACCAGAAACACAGTTACTGCATCAGGTAGGTAGATGAAGATAAGGATGTGCAAATATCAGGACCACCAGAAATACAGTTACTGCATCAGGTAGGTAGATAAAGAAAGGGATGTGCAAATATCAAGACCACCAGAAATACAGTTACTGCATCAGGTAGGTAGATGAAGAAAAGGATGTGCAAATATCAGGACCACCAGAAATACAGTTACTGCATCAGGTAGGTTGATGAAGAAAAGGATGTGCAAATATCAAGTCCACCAGAAACATAGTTACTGCATCAGGTAGGTAGATGACGAAAAGGATGTGCAAATATCAGGACCACAAGAAACACAGTTACTGCATCAGGTAGGTAGACGGAGAAAAGGATGTGCAAATATCAGGACCACCAGAAACACAGTTACTGCATCAGGTTGGCAGATGAAGAAAAGGATGTGCAAATATCAGGACCACCAGAAACACAGTTACTGTATACGGTAGGTAGATGAAGAAAAGGATGTGCAAATATCAGGACCACCAGAAATACAGTTACTGCATCAGGTAGGTTGATGAAGAAAAGGATGTGCAAATATCAAGTCCACCAGAAACATAGTTACTGCATCAGGTAGGTAGATGACGAAAAGGATGTGCAAATATCAGGACCACAAGAAACACAGTTACTGCATCAGGTAGGTAGACGGAGAAAAGGATGTGCAAATATCAGGACCACCAGAAACACAGTTACTGCATCAGGTTGGCAGATGAAGAAAAGGATGTGCAAATATCAGGACCACCAGAAACACAGTTACTGTATACGGTAGGTAGATGAAGAAAAGGATGTGCAAATATCAGGACCACCAGAAACACAGTTACTGCATCAGGTAGGTAGACGGAGAAAAGGATGTGCAAATATCAGGACCACCAGAAACACAGTTACTGCATCAGGTAGGTAGATAAAGAAAGGGATGTGCAAATATCAAGACCACCAGAAACACAGTTACTGCATCAGGTAGGTAGATGACGAAAGGAATGTGCAAATATCAGGACCACCAGAAACACAGTTACTGCATCAGGTAGGTAGATAAAGAAAGGGATGTGCAAATATCAGGACCACCAGAAATACAGTTACTGCATCAGGTAGGTACATGAAGAAAAGTATGTGCAAATATCAGGACCACCAGAAACACAGTTACTGTATACGGTAGGTAGATGAAGAAAAGGATGTGCAAATATCAGGACCACCAGAAACACAGTTACTGTATCCGGTAGGTAGATGAAGAAAAGGATGTGCAAATATCAGGACCACCAGAAACACAGTTACTGTATCCGGTAGGTAGATGAAGAAAAGGATGTGCAAATATCAGGACCACCAGAAACACAGTTACTGTATACGGTAGGTAGATAAAGAAAGGGATGTGCAAATATCAGGACCACCAGAAACACAGTTACTGCATCATAGGTGTAGAGAATGATGGACATATACCAGGGCCAAACAGAGACACCAGATACACATTTACTGCATCGAATTGGGGTGGGGAACGCCTTACATATATCAGGACCTCGCCGAGACGATCGACACCAAGTTACTTCATCAGGTCTATAGATGTAGAAGATGACTTGCATGCACTAGGGCCACACGAGGAGAATAGAAACACATCAAATAGGTCATCTATCCATCCATCCTTCCATCCATCCTTCCATCCATTCTTCCATCCATCCATCCATCCTTCCATCCATCCATCCATCCATCATTCCATCTCTCAAAATATACCTCTCAAAGACAACAGACACACATTCACTGCACCAGGAAGGTAAGTGTTGAGAATGACGTGTAAACACCATGGCCACACTGGGAACACACAGCTACGCCATCGGGTTGGTAGGTGTGCAGACTGATTCCGTGCATTGGGAAGGCCGTTTGCCCAATTCGTGCAATGGGCAATACGGCTTGTCCAATTCATGCAAAGGAGTTTTAAAATCTTATTCACAGAAGTCAAAAGGACAAAGTAATTTGATAAGGATCTATTCACCGAATTATTTTACAAAGATCTGTTCACTGAATTGTTTTCACACACGGATGCATCAACATTAAATCATAAATTACTATTTATATGGTTTCTTAATTTCTGTAAAACACAAATAAAATACAGTTCGAAAAAAACAAATGTAGACTTTAATGTATCAACCATAATTATTTTTGTTAACATTACTGAACGATGAACTTCGCGAAGTTATGTCTAATCACAAAATTTTATTTCCTGCTTAAAAGCATGGGTTGGGTTATATATAATGGACATGCAGTATATTGTTTTTAAATCAATTTACCTGAATGAATATTTTAAAAGGTATTCATTGTATTACATTTAGTTACACTTTGTGCAAACTGTGACTGAACTGAGTGGTGATGTGATTCAGAGACTCTTTATATGCAGATAACACATGTTGATATGTGTTTTTATTTAGAAAATAAAGTTTCTTAAGATCACATATTTGTTTGGGTGTTATCTATTACAGTTTATTCACTTAATAATAGAGTTTACTTTATTCAAAACAAAACATTTAAAACAATACCTATTTCAATTGCGTGTTGAAGGCAGAACAATTACCTGTCCATTGCCTGAAAGGAGCAAGCTGGTTCCCATATTGTGAAATATTTCTAGAATAATTTTTTCATTCACAACTATTACCCATTGCATGCAGTGAGCAGATAATTGTTTGCCCATTGCATTAGGCAAAGGGTATACCTAATGCACGCAATAGGCAGTTGCACAGATTGGATGTAATACATATATAAATAAAGGTGATAAATTCCTCTCCATTGTCATAGAAAGAGTCAATTGTACAACATATAAACATGGGGTGAATATCACATAGTTACTGCATCAGGTAGGTAAATATAGGGGATGATGTACATACATGTACATGTATATGTCATGCCCACATAGGGAGATAAGACCAACAGTTACCGTCCGAATTAAGAGGCGTGGAAAGTCGGTTTGAAATTATTTACTAGCATGGCATTTGTCCCGTGTCTATTACTTAGTTAGTGAGTGAGTGATGATTGTTTAACGCGGCGTCACTCATCTTGCTGCTATCCGCGGCCAATTATAACAGTGTTAGGTACAAAGGTAAAGAAATTGAATCCCGTGATTGTATTGTTATGACAAGCTATATTTTCGAATGAATTCACATGGCCTGTAGTTGAATACAGCGTCCCAGATGCTAGATGTTTGGATCTTATTACAGGAAGAAACAGGCATCAATAAAGTATATAAGATAACGAAAACATTCCTTGCCCAATGTTAGACATCCAAATCGTCCTGTGCATTTTGTCTTCATGTTGCATGACCTCTAAATGTCAGTTTCCGTGTGTTGACGTCGTTGTTGACGTTGCAATGTCGTTCTGGCTCAACATTTCACTTGCAATATATATCAGGCTGGTCGTGTAATCTAATCAAATCAGATGGCTTACTTTCTTCAACATGTCACGAGCTCCCATATCTTACATCACCAACTACTGTAATAACCAATAAATCGCCAACTTGGATATGTTGATGTTTCTCTCGTAAATTTAAGGCTGGTTTGGTGTGGCTTAATGGCGAGAAGACAACATTACGAGACATCCGGGACTGCCCTGCTGAGTTTGAGAAGCTGTTAGAACGCGCAACTCCCGAATGGCAGCCAGGTGAGTGAGTGAGTGAGTCCACTTACGTCATGGCGTTTTGTACAGAGACATTTTATTAATGCTGTCTGTTTGTTGTTTAACGCCGCACTCAGAAATATGCCAGCTATTTGACGGTGGTCTGCAAATAATCGAGTCTTGACCAGGCAATCCATTGATTGACATTATGACCATTGATCCATGCAACTGAGATACGATGACATGCATCAACCAAGTCAGTGAACCTGCCCACCCGATCCCTTCTTACGACAAGCACGGCCCCCCTTTACGGCAGGCATGGGTTCCCGAAGACCTATTCTACCCTGGATCTTCACGGGTCTACCATTTCATAAAAAAACGATTCAGTACGAATATGTGATTAAAAACCACAACAAATGAATCATTACTCAATTCTGACTCGAATTACGTGAAATAAGCAACTTGATACACACATAATTGTCATAACCACTGTTTTATCCGTGAACAATGAAGAAATCTTGTGGAGGAGCAGAAGGAGGTTCCTTAGAGACAACCGCGTCGAGAAGGTAGATTGTGACGTCAGTGTCCATAATGACGTCACCACGTCTCACGTCAATATCTATATATTTATGTCTTAGGTCAAGAATGTTGTTATCATCACGTCAATAATGCCATAGCTCCCTGGTAATCACTATTACACACGTTCTTATAACAGAGTTTAATTAACTTGGTTGTTTCCATCCAAATTGATAATGATCTCAAGTACCGTTAATTTTGGATAGCTCAGTATATATCCAATGCACCAACATATTGTGATCAAAAAGCGGCCAACTCAAAATAGCCCCCGTCCTAATGTTCTCACATACGATGGCCAATTCCCTGCATGTGGACATGTATCTTCTCTCCTTCTCATGCCCAGGTACCAAGCGGGGATACCACACTGTAACATACGGCTACTTTGTTGATACACTAGCAAGGAAGGCCGACCCGAAGCACAGAAATATATCAACAATATTCAAGGAGGAAATTCAAGATCCATATGGTAAAAAAGTAACAGTAATTACCGGAATATGTACGCCTATGTTTGTGGACGAACTGTATAAACTGTCAATGAGGATAAAACAACGTATTAAAAATTAACATATTTCATCCGTTTGTATATTATTTTGAGCTACGATTGTATGATCATTAACTTATGCATGTTGTGACGAGGTTTATACCATAATTTGATAACTATTATTATTATTATTATTATTATTATTATTATTATTATTATTATTATTATTATTATTATTATTATTACATCATTATTATTATTATTATTGTTGTTATTATTATTATTATTATTATTATATTATTATTATTATATATTATTATCTGAGGTGGAATAAAGGATTATCCTACTCGATTGTAAATCCATGATGCGTGACAGAAATAATCCTTATTACTAATAACTGTTATATATTTTTGATTAAAAGAATCTACGGCAAATGTGAGCATTTCGATTTCGATTCTTGTACACGATGTTAAACCCCATTTCACCTCAAATCACTTTGATCACAAATGGAGACACCAGCTCTGTCAATGTCTTGTTGAGAAGTCATCAAATTAAATCAATAGTTGATATCATTTTCAATTATTTGCGACAATTAAAAACATGAAACAATAGACGTGAGCTAACCAATCAGCGTGAAGCAATATATAATATTTGTTATTATGATATCCGTTGCGCTTGGACTTCACTGAAAATATACTGCTTTTACAGATATCGATTTTTATATCGGTCTCCCAAAGGAACTGAGCTACAGGATGGCGAGAGGGCACTACCTCACTATTGCAGAGCTCTTGATAAGCAGTCTTGCCGTCCCTAGAAAGTTTATATTTTTTGCCAAGGTGATGTTTTCGCCTTCCTCCATGTTTGGAAAATGAATCAAAACTATGGATTTTCCAGTAAGTTTGTGTGTATGCTATTTTGAAGAGCATTCGTTTCGCTTTGTTCAAATCTACATTGCGGTTGACCAAAACACTAAGTGACCTTTAAATTCATATAAATTGAAACCTTGTTATTCCGATTCCATCTAGATGTAATGAATGGACATGGTTATCTATTGAAGTAAGACGAGTTCTATGGATGGACAACTTCTTTATTACAAGAGAACTCGTCTTACTTCATCACTCCAACTTCTAAATGCCACTCAAAGAAGTTATGGTTATCTATTGCACCAATGGTGCGCTAATATGGACGATGCCACTAGGAACAGCATCGTCTTGATTAAGTTCGATATTACGGTATAATTAGATTTTGCTAAGCCAGGAATGGTTAACGTCACACAATAACGTAGTTGTAAATAGCTTGATGTAGCAAAGGCCATTGGGTTGATTGGAAATGAGTGAGTGGTGTTTTACGCCGTTAAAGCAATATCTAGGTCGGAGATATGATAGATTGGGTTTAATAGTGGCAAATCGAGCAATGGCCTGCGACAAGCAAACCCTTTAACCTCTGTGCCAGCCCACAGCCGTATTGGCATACAGAATAGACAACAAGATGGTATTTTTTCGAGAAGTTGGTATTCTGGAATGAATTAATTACCTTTGTCTGATATGGTAATAACCGAAGAACATTTATATATTTATCTATGACGTTGCTGGGGCTGTTACATGCCAATGAGGAGAATCCTGGTAACCATTGTATTTGTTCAATATTGCTTCCTTCAGTCTAAAGGGGAAACATATGGCCACAAGAGATAACATTCGCAGATATGTGCATGTTACAGTCAATGTGTAAATGGACTGAAATTGTCACTTAGGCAACTTACAAAATGCTCAAATTTGTTATTTTCAGTTCAAAATGGCTTAAACACATCACAGCACACGAATTATGATCGGATTAGACTAAAATGAAATATTGCAAAAGATACTTTGACATTCGTTTTCTTTTAATCCCATCACTTTCTGTCACTGGGGGATGAAATAGAGCATTAACAAGTTTGGAATTCGTTAAATAGATAGGAAAAAATGTTAAATTAAATGTTACACATTGCCTGATTTTACCCATTTTTTGTGACATATATGGAATAAGGATATCTGGACAAAATGTTAAAAAATACATTTTTTTATTGTATATTATTTCCTGTATGCGTTGTTGAGACCTACATTACTAATATGATTGTATCGTCACTGTTATAGAGTACTGAACTCAATGACCCTGAAACACGAAGCATTGGGTTGTCATCGTTTATCGGTTGCGGGTCTGCTCGATCGTTAGGAAAACTCTACAGCTATATTGCAAATGGCGGCACATGCAAAGGGAAGCAACTCTTTCCACCCAATCTTAATGAGCGCCTAACGAAACCAGTCACTTCAGGATATGACGAATGCATCACCAAGGAAAATACCTATGGACTTGGCTTTATGTTCCGGGATAATCCACAGGTAGTAGGTCACTTCAGTCTAATTTTATGCTCGGCGAATACCAATAAGAAAAACCATACTATACCCGTTTTATCATTTTTAGACTTAGTCTCATAGAACTTAACAAGAGTTTTAATTAAATATTATTGTGTTGATTATATTTTGATACAATTGGGATGCTTGATATCACCCGCACACCTTCCACGTAACGTTGACCAGGGAGACATGCACATGAATATCATAATGAAACGTCTTCGTGTATGTCACAATTTTGCAATTTTGATTTTACACCTAGAATAATAAAGAATCGCATACTATATATTTCTATAGATTTTTTAAAATCGTATTGCCTTAAATTTTATGACAAAACACATATCTTTTATTTTCAATATTACCAACTAATATTGAGATACAGAACCATAAATCGATGACATGTTTTGTAAATTCTCTACGGCAATAGATACCTTTTCAATTACTTCCACCCACTTTTTGTATCATATGATATGAGTACTTACTACTACATGGAGGACCAAATAGTGGTCCTGTACGACGTGCCCAAGGTCTATCGTGGTATCTTGAAAGAAAAAAAATATGAAATAAATGTCATATGGAGATATTTTTAAAATATATATGGAATTTAAATGGCATTTGATGCTAGAGAAGGGTTAGTGCTTGACATTTTTCAAAGTGTATATCTGTATTAACAGGTTCGTATCATGCATTTGGCTTCTTGTGTCTCTTACAAACTAGTTAGCGAAAGGTGTTGTGCTCGAGATATCTCCCAAACTGATGATTACACATTTGACATATACATATATGCTGTAACTGCACTGGGAAAACCTGAAACAATCATCAATGTTTGCATTTGTTCAAGAAAGCGCGTCCAAAATATATTTTTAATTCACATAAACAGGATGAATGTGTACCTTCATAACAGCCAGTTTAACTTTACAAAACATGTGATGATATTGTATATAATGCGTCTTTAACTTTACAGGGAAACCTGGTCTTTGGACACCCAGGTCTTGGAGGTCAAGTGGTATATGCAGACCCAACCAATCAGATTTCTCTTGCATACGTTACAAACTACAACTCCATATTTGGATTCTGGGATGACGCAAGGTTCTTGGATTTGGAGAAGACGTTCTATGAATGTTTCCGCGAATATCAAACTACGTAAACCAACATTCCTATCACAAGATAAATAATGACACATTTTGCCATGTGCTTACAGACTTTACAATGTCAAAGTCGTTACAATAAAAGACTTCGAAGTCGTAAAATTACCGAACGGAACATGTTTTGTCCACATTTTGCAAAGCAACCTATACTTTGGTTTCAATGCAACTGTTCCATCAAGTGTGTATTCCCCTGCTTTATTTAGTCACACTTGTGTAGTTGTTTTAATTGCGTTTATAACGAACACGCTTATAACGAACTGACGGATATAACGAAATGATCCCGTCCATTTGCTGTAAAGTTGCTAATATATATATGATGTATGTATGCTTATAACGAACTACGGTTATAAAGAACTAAAAGTAGTGGTCCCTTTAAGATCGTTATAACCGTAGTTTACTGTACTTACATTATGATGTTAGGTGAAATGGGATTTTCAGTCGCGTTCAAGATTATTTCATTTTTACAGCAGTGTGTGTTTGGCTGCTTGTGTGTGAGGCTGGATGTACTATTCATGACTTCTGTCGGTTTTAAAGTTCTAGCCCTCTGAGATGTCATGCCGCAGTTTAAACATGGGAGTTCGACTGAGACGCTCTGACTCAGAGCCGGACAGTCCTTGTTTACACCCCAATGTGAACGCCAGGCAGGGTAACAACACATCCTTTGGTATGACTCGGCCTGTGGATCGAACCCCGACCTTTCACTCTCCGGGCAGACGCTCTGTCCACTACGCTACGGAGTGTTAAAACGTGTTGAAGACGGGTGTACACGACATGGCGTTTGAGTTAGATATTTGAAAGATATCACATACACAATTTAATACACATTCTTTACTTTTTAAACATTATTTAACATAAGTTATTAAGAAAAAAGCTTTGAGCGATAACATATCGGAGAAGGTTTAAGGGTATGTGATATTTAGTTGTGTTTCACTCAAACAGTAACGTGAAATATTTCATCAAAGTTGGTGACGGGTGTTCAGTTTTGTTTGTTGTTTAGCGCCCCACTCAGCAATATTTCAGCTGTATGACGGTGGCCTATATATAATCCATTCTGGACGAGACAATCCAGGGATACGCAGTTGGGATACGATGGCATACATCAACCAAGTCAGCGAGCCTGACCATCCGATATCGCCAATCGCCTCTAACGACAAACACGGGTGCCTGGAGATCAATTCTAACCGGATCTTCAAGGGTGATGGATGTTTGAGCAGTTGGCAGAGATGTTGGTACCTCGACACAAACGAATCAAGTCATATTCCCACTATAATTCCCACTCGGCTAAACAGTTGCAGTCGCTGGGTTTTTTTCATAAAATAACCAGCCAGTGGTTTAATATTCGACACACCACGCATGGTTTAGTAACGTGAGTAAATTAGCCTCGCCAAACAACAGCGATAAGCATCTCATGTGGGAGTAAATTGATTCATACCATCGTAGAATGTCAATGTTTCTAATTATGAATGCTATACTCTCAATATGAATATACAAGTGCGATAAAATGGAACCAGTTCGGCAGGATCTCGACGAAGTCATTGTATCGCGTCCGTGGTTGACTGATCCCTTTGCTTTTTCAAAAACCATAATTTCCTTAGTGTCATCTGGCCATGTTGTCAACAGCTGTGACTAAACAATAGCTGACGGGGTCCCGGAGAAAGATTTAATTATCTGATACCAGGACCTGGGCGACATCAGCTGCCTCTGAAGATGGGATGAAGGTAAACAGATTGGTGTCTCATTGTCATTGGTATCAATTATTTAATGCTGTGGAAGCGAGGGAGCAGCATGTATACTTTGTTCATTTCCTGTCTTATTTCATGCATTTTATGGATAGTAGTGCTACAAATGAAGATCAGCACCGATTTTCTGCCTTCCATATTCAGGGATGCGTCACCACGGTGGGTACTTTTCACTGTAAAATGATGTCACACGAATAGACAAGCGAAATGGACTTTGTAGAAGGGTAGAATTTGTTTGACGTGGGATCCTTTTCTTCTCAGGTGGGCGGGGGTTGCTTGATGGTGCATGATTCACGGGTGGGTTTACTAGTATCTAGTATGCCCTTCACAGGTGGACGGGTTTGTTTTAGGTTCCATCCACTATGTGCTTCAAACGTTCCGGGGGGTCCTGTACGTGGCATCCTTTATGTGCTACACTGGCGTGCGGAAGTTGTGTGGCGTGGCATTAAGCAATTGCTCTTTTGACGTAGCAGCGTATCTTTATATGAACGTGCTTCACAGATGGTCGGGGATTGTTTAACGTGGCATTCTGCACGTGCTTTACAGAATGGTGGGAGTTGTTTGACGTGGCATTCTGTACGTGCTTCACAGAATGGTTGGTTGTTTGACGTGGCACTCTGTACGTGATTTACAGATTGGTGGGAATTGTTTGACGTGGCACCCCGTACGTGGTTCACAGATTGGTTGGTTCTTTGACGTTGCACCCCGTACGTGGTTCACGGTTGGTGGGTTGTTTGACGTGGCATTCTGTACGTGTTTCAAAGAAAGTCGGGTTGTTTGACGTGTTATTCTGTACGTGCTTCACAGATTGGTGGGTTGTTTGACGTGACATTCTGTAAGTGCTTCACGGATTGACGGGGATTGTTTGACGTGGTATTCTGTACGTGTTTCACAGAATGTCGGGTTGTTTGACGTGACATTCTGTAAGTGCTTCACGGATTGACGGGGATTGTTTGACGTGGTATTCTGTACGTGTTTCACAGAATGTCGGGTTGTTTGACGTGGCATTCTATACGTGCTTCACAGAATGTCGGGTTGTTTGACGTGGCACCCCGTACGTGGTTCACAGATTGGTGGGTTGTTTGACGTGGCATTCTGTACTTGCTTCACAGATTGGTGGGTTGTTTGACGTGGCATTCTGTACGTGCTTCACAAAATGTCGGGTTGTTTGACGTGGCACCCCGTACGTGGTTCACAGATTGGTGGGTTGTTTGACGTGGCATTCTGTACGTGCTTCACAGATTGGTGGGTTGTTTGACGTGACATTCTGTAAGTGCTTCACGGATTGACGGGGATTGTTTGACGTGGTATTCTGTACGTGTTTCACAGAATGTCGGGTTGTTTGACGTGGCATTCTATACGTGCTTCACAGAATGTCGGGTTGTTTGACGTGGCACCCCGTACGTGGTTCACAGATTGGTGGGTTGTTTGACGTGGCATTCTGTACTTGCTTCACAGATTGGTGGGTTGTTTGACGTGGCATTCTGTACGTGCTTCACAAAATGTCGGGTTGTTTGACGTGGCACCCCGTACGTGGTTCACAGATTGGTGGGTTGTTTGACGTGGCATTCTGTACGTGCTTCACAAAATGTCGGGTTGTTTGACGTGGCACCCCGTACGTGGTTCACAGATTGGTGGGTTGTTTGACGTGGCATCCCGTACGTGGTTCACAGATTGGTGGGTTGTTTGACGTGGCATTCTGTACGTGCTTCACAGATTGGTGGGTTGTTTGACGTGGCATTCTGTACGTGCTTCACAAAATGTCGGGTTGTTTGACGTGGCACCCCGTACGTGGTTCACAGATTGGTGGGTTGTTTGACGTGGCATCCCGTACGTGGTTCACAGATTGGTGGGTTGTTTGACGTGGCATTCTGTACGTGCTTCACAGATTGGTGGGTTGTTTGACGTGACATTCTGTAAGTGCTTCACGGATTGACGGGGATTGTTTGACGTGGTATTCTGAACGTGTTTCACAGAATGTCGGGTTGTTTGACGTGGCATTCTGTACTTGCTTCACAGAATGTCGGGTTGTTTGACGTGGCATTCTGTACGTGCTTCACAGAAAGGCGGATTATTGACGCGGCATTCTGTACGTGTTTCACAGAAGGGCAGGGGTTGTTTCGCATGGCATCCGTTACGTGTTTCACAGATTGGTGGGTTGTTTGACGTGGTATCCCGTACGTGCTTCACATATAGACGAAGGCTGTGATGCCATATTCTATAGCACCAGAACATAGTTCACTCTCTTTCAATTACTCTTAGGGTCTTTCTCCAGAAAGCATTTAATTTTCATATCCGCAGACATTTTTTTGTCTATGTTGCTATTTCATCCCTTAGATGATCTTGATCAGGTCATTTATGACATGAAGCAATTATCAACGGACCATTGGCGCTACACACGGTTTTACAACCGCTGGTACTGCTGCTGTAGTCGTGTCCTGGTTGACACTGATATGACGAAAAACGGCCTTTGCGATTCTGTCCAATATTCACAGGGTATTTGAAACTGACGCTTATATTAATAACACTGTGACACAACACACCTGTGCTAATTATTGTCCAGGTACCTTACAGCACGACCCCCGAATAACCGGGGTAGAATAGATCCTCAGCAACCCATGCTTGCCGTAAAAGGCGACTATGCTTTTATTAAGAGGCGACCAATGGGATCGGGTGGTCAGGCTCGCTGACTTGGTTGATGCATGTCATCGATCCCAATTGCGTAGATCGATGCTCATGATGTCAATCACTGGATTGTCTGGTCCAGACTCGATTATTTACAGACCGCCGTCCCATAGCTGGAATATTGCTAAGTACGGCGTTAAACAATAAACAAACAAAACAAATCTTACAGTACACATCACTAATGCTTATTTTTCATATAAGGACTGAGATGTACAACACTCTCCAACATGATCGGTGGATTGTCATTACCACGGTGGCGCCCCCTACACCGGATGTGCAGTACCTTGCACAAATACCCGGATGGAAAGTGGTGGTGGTAGGGGATAGGCAAACCCCTAACAACTGGACGTAAGATTTGTAGATAGACCTACAGTAACTGTATTCAGGCCATTTGGTTATAGACAAGTTTAACATACTTCTATAAGATAGGTCACGCATGAGCGTAGACGTCATATGATATAACGTTTCTTTAAATATTCCTGTAAGGGCCTGACCATTGGATATACTGGTATTAGGGGTTCCGGGGAGTGGGGAGGGTGAGGGGGGATTTTATCGAAGAAAATAGGTTGTCCCTGTACTAAATGCTTGAAAAAATATTTATGCTTCAGACTTTTGAAAAACAAGAAAATGACTGAGACAAAAATTACATTGTTGCAAGGTGTATTCTAATAATAAAAGATATATTAAATTATTAGATGTCTGTGTTTTCCTCAGTAGCTATAACC